GTCCACTTGTTCTCATAAATGCCACTATCTTTTTTTTTTCTTTTTTCTTTATAAAAGGCTAATTCTTTAAGCCCAACCAATTCAATTACCTGTCAAATCTGGACAGGACGGCCTTTCAGGCCTTTTTTATTGTCATTATAGTATTACGGGGAACCCATAGCAGCCACATCCGTGCTCAAGCCTCCAACGAGGGAACATGCGAGAGCTGCACCCACCAGCAGGTGTGATACCTGCTACAGCAGGTGGGCGATACCGACCAGGGGTCAGCCGGTAGCATCAGGACCGAGCTTCTTTGATGGGCCAGTCACTGTGCATCCCCTCCGGTCCCCTCCCCCTACGAACATCAGCAGTCTCTGCTCAATGCCACTCGGGGGGACCAACAGCATATCTCTAGGTGGCGGGCGCCAAGCGTGCCCAGGAAGATGCATGAGGCCAATGGGGATTGAACCCAAGACCTCCTGAATGCCACTTGCGTGCCTTACCAACTGAGCTGGGCCGCTGGATGCCACTATCTTATTACTCGAGCCGCCAGCGGCACTTTTTTTTTTTTTCCCGGCTGGCGCCACCAGCCATTCTGGTCTGGTAGCCCCGAGCCTGAGCCACTCGTTCTTGACGTTGGCTGGGGGCGTTTACTGGCGGTTAAGCTTGGCCAGAGTGCCTTGCTCGTCCACTAGGCCCATCTAGAACGTCTTCCATGTGTCAGGGATGCCGGGCCCAGTTCCCAGTTTACAATGGTTGACGAGTTTCAATGTCTAAAAATAAATAAAGAATTAAACATATTAACTTATCAACAAGTAAATATATAAGTAAATAAAATGAAGAGGATCACTTACCATGGTGTTGGTTATAAAAACAAAAAAAAAAACACGGTGTTGGTTGTGAACTGCAGCGCCACAAGATCACCTTGCGGTTGGCGCCGACAGTCGGCCAGACTACCCCGTAAGTAGATATATAAGTAAATAAAAGTTATAAAACGAACAGGATGACTTACCATGGTGTTGGTTGTGAACTGCAGCGCCACAAGTGCTAAGAAGAGTGCAACTGTTGTCGAGAGCCGGAGCTCTATCTCCGCTGGATGTGCTGCAAGGCCCAATGTGGCCAAGACAACGGTTGTCCCGACAGGGAAAAGCATCTGTGTCAAAGACAGAATTTCAAAGCCGTCAAAGAAAGAAAAAAACAACAACAACAGGAAGCTTAACTCCCGCCTGGGCCCGACGTTGCGATGCGTGGGACTTTGGGAGCTCGGCTGGAAAGGTCGGCTACCTGCCGAAAATCCCGCACCTAACTCACAGGGCCGAGGTTTTTTGGCTGTCGGGGGGAGTGGTGGTTTAAGAGAGGGGCCAGGGGAAAAAAAAAAAAAAAAAGAGGAGGAACAAACATGTAAGGGGGACCAAACAACACATGAGATGACACAGAGCAAAAGACGCAATAGAGACTCTGTTCCTTTTTTTTTTTTTTTTTTTTTTTTAAGCCCTTGTGTCAGCCCTCTATTCCAGCGGTGGGAGGGCTTGACTGTTGGGCTGCTCCATCAATTGGTGGGGAGCGGCACCTGCTGGAAACCGGGTCCAGCGTCCCATTGATACATCTTCTACCTCAGCAGTTTCCCAGGGCTGTGGTTGTTTCTCTCACTGGTCCAGGACTCCATTGTCCCATGGGGCTGCTAGTTTCACCCATCCCATCTTGGAGCACCCTTTGTCTGACAACCCAGCCCTGTCCAGCAGCGCCCCTGGGAATTGTTCCCTTGTCGGAGTTTTTAACCCCTTCCAACCCTCTACCCCTACATTTCCCTTACTTAACATGCAAGACAATTTGACTATCCCAGGACTGCCATGAGATGATTATCGATGCAATGCAATGTAGTGCAATCGAACTTGAATCGTTGAGAGAGAATTATGTCTATTTATCTAATCTTTAATCCCTATAAACCCTTTGCCCTCTCAATTCCTGAGTATAGCATGTTCTCAACCCTTAGTGCTTTAAGGATGCTGGAGCTCTTTGAGGAAAGCAGGCAGGAAGGGACGCAGGCTACTTGTCTCGCTATCACCTGTCCTGCCACTGTGAGGGGTGGCTCCTGCTGAAGACCAAGTACAGCCTCCTTTCCAGCTTTCATCATTACTGCAGTGCCTTGACGTAGTTGCTCGCAGCTGGTCTCTCAGTCGATTTCTTGCAAGGGTGTGGTCGTTGCTGCTTCACTGTCGACGGCTACCCGGTCAGCCTATCATCTTTCTGTGTAGTTGAATTGAGAATGACTGGAGGCGGCGACTGTCGTGTGGTTTAAGTGAGTGCTACTGGAAGGACTTGGGGGGCAGTGGGGGGGTATCAGTTGGCGTGCTCTGTGGGATGGGGGGGGGAGGAGAGGGTGTAGGGGGCGGGGAGCCTATTGACAGCGAGGGAGGTGGAGGGGGGGTAGGGGGCGGGGGACCTGAAGTTGGTGAAGGAGGAGGTGAGTAGGTGGGCTGCGAGGGCAGGGGCAGGGGCAGGGGGCCCTGAGTATAGGGGCAGCGGTGGAGGTGAGAGACTATAGAAGCTTGGGAGCAGTGGACGGATGTTGGGTTGGCTGTTACAATTGTCCCCGACGACAGACCGGGCAGCGGTGTGTAGATGCAGTCTGGGTGCCGAAAGGACCATTGGTCTTCCTGCGCCGCCCAGTTTTTCCAGATAAGCTTTCCAGTCTCCTGGACCTCGGCCATCTTGCTGTGGGGGTCGAGCTAGCATTCTTTAAATGCTGAGATAGCCTCCTGTTTTTTCCTCTCTATCCGGACTCCCCGCATTCTTTAAATGCTGAGATAGCCTCCTGTTTTTCCTCTCTATCCGGACTCCCCGCTACCTCTTCCTGCAGTTTTCTGCCAGCTTTGACCAAGTTAGCCCGGATAATTTCTACGAGTTCCGCTTTGGCTTGGTGATAGCCGAACGTCTCTTCTTTTCGCTCTGCCGAGCACCTCATCCGCCATATGACCATCAGGACAACCAACCTCATGTGTTTAAACATATTTCTTTGGAAAGGTGTCCAAATCTGTGGGATGCTTTTCCGTTTCCCCAGTAGGATGAGGACTACATCCCAGTGAAATACTGTTCCTGTTAGGGTGTGCCACATTGCGTTTCACCACTGCCATATCCTTACTGCCATTGGACATGCCAAAAGGCAATGTTCCAGATCTGCCCTTCGTTGGGGAGCACCGGACCCGCACTGAGAGCAGATGGGGGACAGAACCCCTGTCTGTTCCAGGTTGGATCTCGCTGTCACCCAATCCAGGGTCGGTAGGCATCGATGTACAATTTGCCACTGCAGAGCCCTATGGGAGGTTGGCATAATATGATCCATGGGATGTGGCACAGGTTTTCTTCTGCAACCGGCGAGTCCCTACTCCACCTATTTTGGACCACCGGAGTCGACGGAACGTGGTCGTGTGCCTGTTTATATCCATCTCTAACTGTGTATTGCCAGATTGGGATTGGGTTGTGGCCCTTCCACTCCCACTCATCAAGATCAAAGGGGAGGGCCCCCATCGGGGTAGACATCTCGTATGCGTAAAATCCCTTGTCTTCGGACCCCACCACTCTTATTCTCGTGAGTTCTTCTTTCGGCCTTGTGCGGTCTAGGTCGGGGGCTCTCTTTACGGAGGCCCATCTGGCCCCAGGCACGTCCGGTTCGAAGGCCTGGACCTGCAGACCACCTTCTTTGGCATTAAGTACTCTATAGACAGTCATGGGAATGTGGTTTGGAGTGGACTGAATCACCCAATCCACACTTCTTACCGACGGTCCTTGTTGCAAGATGGTCACCCACTGCAGCGGTATTGCTGAATGCAAATGCTGCAATTTGTATTGCATTCTTTTGACGTTCTTAAGTTTGGGCTGCAGTTGTTGTGGCGCTTTCCATTATCGGGCGTGAGTGTTCCACAAGTCCCCCACAGTAAAAAAGCCATTTTTTACCCATGTGAGCCAGTGAGAGCCGCTTGACAACGGAAGTGGTACCCTTGCAGCGTCACAGACATGCGGGTTCCCGAACAGTGGCTGTCTCCATAGTTCCTGCCATCTGAGGGGGGGGGGCGCTTTTGGGTTGGGCCCATCTGTCTCCACAGGTCCACCATTGTGGTCCACAAAGGGTCATTTTTAAGATCCCATCTGGCCCTGTTACGGGGCGACCCATCCCTCTTATGCCGAGGGGGACTTGGTACGGACCATGCTGCGTTGACCAGTCAGGCGAGAGGGTGGATTGGGTGGTGTGGGTGGGRGGGGGGGGGCAGGTTTGACAATTGGATGCAAGCGAGGGGCAGCCACGGGACGTCRTTAGCGAGCAGCAGGCGARTAATTATTTTAAACAACAACGCTCTGATTTTATCTCCTGGGTCAAGGATACCCAGTCCCCCCACCACCTTCGGTTGGGTAATGTACTTCCATGCCACCCTTTTGATACATTTCGTGTGGGCATGGTCGTTTCTCCATAGGTAAGCTGCCAATGCCTCTCACAGATGCATTAGTTGCTTCCTCGGGATCTGCCAGAACGTTGTTTTGTACCATATGGTTGCTAGGATGGCAATATTGATTGCTAGTGCCCTTCTAACCAATGAAGTGAGGAGACCATCCCATTTGGCCAACCTTTGCAGGGCTGTTTGGACCAGCGCCTGGCCATGGTCAAGTGGGGGTCCCATTGCCTCTTCACGCCTTTTCCAATTGACCGGCGGGTGTTGCGGAGGTTGGGTGTCTTGTGGAGAAAGCCACCATCCTTCTGTCTTGGTTCCCCAGTTAACTTTCATGTCCGCTGCTACACCAAATGTCTGGATTGTATCCATCAACGCTCTTAGGGATGCCTCTGAGGCATTAATGAGGATCGTCAGATCATCTGCGAATAGGGATGTCACTGACACTAACCATGGGGGTAATTCCGGGATATCGATGCGTTCAATGTCTGGATTAGCCCGGATCATTGTCGCAAGTGCTTCTATAACTAGCACAAAGAGAAGGGGGATCACTGGGTCCCCCTGTCTCACTTATCTTTGGAGGGCAAACGGGGGGGAGAGGTGGTCGTTGACCATAATGTTCGTTGTGGCGGACCTGTGCATGATAGATACACATACTCTGAAGGAGTCGCCAAAGTTCATTTTCTGCAGACAGGCATCCATCAAGTCCCAATCCACGAGGTCGTAGGCCTTTTCAAAGTCTATGAACAAAATGGCGGCCTCTTTTTTGTGTCGTCTGGCGTATTTTATTGATTCATTTATAAGGAGCACGTTATCCTGGATGTTGTGTTGGGGCATAAACCCAGTTTGATCCTGGAAGATCAGATGTTTCATATACGAGAGCAAGCGGTTAGTGAGTGCTTTAGACACCATTTTGCAGGGTAAGGGGAGAAGTGTAATCGGCCTATAGTTCCTGAAATCAGATTTATCCCCTTGTTTGTACAGCTGTGTGGCCACCCCCTGAGAGATTAGCCCCCCGAAAGATCCCTCCATCCGAACTGCATGTACATATGCCACGATGTTGCCTTAGAAAGTGACCCAGTTTTGTAGCCAAAACTCTTTCGGAAAAGAGTCCAGCCTCGGGGTCTTTTCATCTTCCATTCCCCTCAAGGCTTCTAACAGCTCTTCTGTGGACAGCGGAACATCCAACAATTCACGTTGGGCTGTTGACAGCATTGCTGGCAAAATCCAACAATTCACGTTGGGCTGTTGACAGAATTGCTGGCAAACGTTGTAACATTGATTCCCTTGCTTCTACCAGCCTTTGTGTCCCCCATTGGGCCGATTCAGAGGCGTAAAGCCTTTGGTAATACTGCGCTGCATAATCAACGATGGAGTATGCATTAGTGGTGTTAGGGGGACAGCGATCGAAGGGGTGGCGGAGGGAAGACACCGCTGCTTGCCTAGCCCTAGCTTTCGCCTTCCTAAAGAAGGTTTTCGCCATTGTTCCCTCCGTGTCTTGCTTTCGTATGCGTGCTTGAATACGCCACGCCTCAGCTTGACCGGCCAAATATGTCTGTAGGTGTTCTCCAGAGTCCTGCTGTCTGTGATAGGTCGTGTCATCCAAAGGTTCCAAATTCAATTTGGCATCCCAATTTTCAGTTCTTTCAGCAGATTGTCAAGAACTGTTTTTTTTTCCCTTGCATGATTAATGGATAATTTTTTTATCCGG